TCTTTGCCATGTGTTTGACACAATCACTGATTGCTTATTGTATCACAGAAACAGAATGGAAAACATTGTGAAGAGACAAACTGTAGATTTCTGCCTAAAAGGTGACGAAGATGACTGCATTTTCATTTCTAAATTTGTATTTTTCCGAAACATCAATTGTATGATTAATATTTCTTATTTCAGAATGATGAATTGAAGCTGAGTGTGGTAGATTGTGTCTGTAATTCCAGCTCTCGCTCGGCAGATTCAGTACTGCAAGATAATAGCCAAACTGGGCTGCAGAGTTAGTTCTAAAATTTCCAGGGCTAGAGGATGTATGAAAGAAGAAACAAACAAATGAAGGAATGGATAATAAATAAATTTCATGAATAAAAGCTAGGCAGGGGGGAAATAAAAACATTTATTTTAATTCGGAAATGATACTTTGAAATCTAACAATACAGGCAAGTAGTAGTCAGGTCTTGTGTGACGCAAGGTCACATTATACTGAGAGTTTACCAGAGCCAATTTTATACAAGAGTGTTCTGGAGAAGCTTGTTCTGTATCACAGGAAGTAGAAGCAGTAAGGTTAGTGAATGCAAGGATGTAGAGTGGGTCAGCTTTGGAATTTGAAAGATCCTACACTCCACATCCAAGCTACTGAGTCACCACTTCTCTGTGGAAACAAACATACATGTGTTTAAAGGATCTCTGGTGATCTCAGAAACAAGATGAACTCTGAGAAATTTAACTTTATTTGAGAAATCATAGACTGAAAAGAAATAAAAATATGTCATTGCATCTCAACATGAGGTTCCTGAACATCAGATAGCATTTTTTTCAGAGGAATTTGCATAAATGTGAGGATTCAGGACACACTCCACACTTCCTGTCTCATAATCTGCATTTTAAAGGTTTCCTCAAGTGATTCATAAGTGTATTAACATTTGAGAAGCAGGGAGATAATGACATTTCAATTAAAAGTGGTGGTAAAATAATTCAAGTATAAACATATGTGCTTGTACACTCATAAATCTCATGAACCACACTAGAGATTTGTTTTGTTTGTTTGATTTTTTGTTTTGCTCCTCCTGCATTTGGTCTCTGAAATAATGATTTTCAGATACCATTTAACAGTAGTAAATTGCATCATATCTTGAGGTCTTTGGTTACGTGTGTGTATGCCCCTACTCTTATGCGTATTAAGACCTGTGTACAATTTAACACATGTGTGGAGATGAGAGAACAAATTAAGATATAGGCCTATGTTTTCTATGTTGTTTGACACAGGATCTATTATTTCTCCTGCTGTAAACATTGCCATGGCTGGGTGGCAAACATGCTCCTAGGTACTCCTCAGTCTCTCTCTCCCATGTCGCCGCAGAGACACTGGGATCACTACCTTTTACATGGGTTCTTGGTTTCGAACTCAAGCCCTCAAGCTGAGCAATGTTTTACACATTGAGTCATCTTCCCAGCTTCAGAGATCTTGGATTATTTAATGATGTATACTTCCTAATATTTCAGAGACTTAACAGTCTTATGTAATTACTTACTATCTAAGATTGTGAGAATTAGAATGCCTAAGCTCAGACATTAGCTCCAAATTCAAATGGCAGAGACACACCTTAGTTTTAAAAAAAAATCATCACAGATTTCTGAGCATCAACATGAATATGAACTTCACCTGATTCTTATTCTGACTAGTTATTGTGGAAGGCAGTATGTAAGAGAAACTTTACTGGATAAAGTAAAATTACTATCCTACATTGTGTACTAACTGCTTGGATTCAGACAAGTACTTGTAACATTTTAAGGAAGTAAAATTATATACATTGTTTCTATATTTTTAAGTTTCATTTACCAGGAAATCAATCTTGTGAACAGATTTCCAGGAGAAAACAAAACAAATCAAAAAACCCAAATCAACACAACAATAATAACGGCCACTTTAAATATTGTAGACCTGGTGAACCTTTTAAATTCAGTGAGTATGGAGAGATAAACATTCAGACGCAGATTTTGTGTTTATAAATATAAAAGTTTGTGAAACTGCTACCATGTTGCAGTAATCTAAATCCATTTTCCTAGGCTAAGTTACTTTTATTTGGCTTCATACTATACTAACTCATTTCCCATAAGAGTAAAGTTGTGATATTGGATGGGCAGTCTCTTTTAAGTGACTTCATTGCCTTATAATTACGATACTTTCCTTAAAAGATTTTTCAGTCTAAATAAGATGTACTTATAGTTTCTGTGAATGAATTGAGCCCACAGGAAATGGAGAGTAATTCAGGGATCAGTATACTGATTATTTTTTTTAATGAAAGTCACCAAATGCCATTAAAATAAATAGTAAACTCCAGAATAAATTAAATGTGATATGCAGTAATGTGAGCAAGGTGTTCCAAATCAAATCTGATAAAAATTTGAAACTTAGCTTACATAATCAATGAATGTCTGGTTCATTAAACGGTTGCCTTTGAATGGATTTCAACATAAAATTGTAATAGGAAATGAATGAGAAAACATAAAATTACCTGAAACCGTTTTCTTTTGAAAACTTACCTACAGAGAACGAGAAAAGGCCTACTGCTACGCATGCAGTTTACTGCATATTAATATCTTCTCTGGAAAAGAATCTGATCCTCTGGGTGAGACGGGGTTATTGTATTTGGATTGTCTCCATCTACAAATATTGACTTCTTATCTGTGACTAAGAGGGCCATTTCTGTATGAAGAGTGTATAAACTATAACTTTCCTCTTGCATATAGAAATGAGTGTGTTCACTGGAAATTTAATTTTATATTCCAAAACATAAATGTAACCCAGATGATAAAATCACCTACCAGAACAATAGAATCGTGATATTTTGGGGCGTATTGCACTCTTGATATGTAAAATGAGAATAATACCAAAATACTTAATTATCAGGTTCTATGGCTAACAAACTTAGTGACATCAAGGAGTAAGAAATATAAAAATCTCATGCATCAATACCCAGCGTTTTTATCTTAATTTATAAATGAGAGACTGTGATCTATGAAATCTAAAATTGCTTTTTCCAAATCTATTCTCGTTCATTGTTCTGCTAGAACTCAGATGAGTTTCTGATGACTGTGGGTGCTTGAAATTCAAGGATTTGTTCTGACTTCACATGCTTTCTGCAACAATCATTTTTACCTAAAATGAGTTAAATCAAAAAAAGTTATTAGTGAAAGGCTGAATAAATGGGAACATTTTTCTCAAAAATAAACCTTTCAGTTAGGATCTGGAATCTACATCCCTTACTAAATTTGGGCAAACTCAAGTCCCTGTATCAGTTGAGTGGCTTTGCGGTTATGCTATGTGCATTCTCCCACATATTTTAGACCATTCTTAAATTGATGAGTCATATTTTTGTCAGTCTGACAGATATCTGGGAAAAAGAACTTAAGAGGAATACGACTCATTCATACAACTGTCAGTTTATATTTTGCTTGACCACATTGTTTGAGCTCATGGCAACATAGTATATAATAGCAAGAGCCTATGGTGAAGAGGGCCATTCACACCACTCTGAGTAAGAGGAGCAGCTGAGGTTATGTCCTCTGCAGTTACATGCAGAATCGTCTAACGTCCCTTCACTAATGGTTATGCATATGGACATGGTTATGCCATATCCCAGTAACTGTAGACTGATAACCAGACCTTTAAAACACGTGAACCTTTGGAAGGTATTCCAGACCCCAAGTGTTAAATGTGTGATATTTTATAATCTTTAAACAGTGTCACATAATGTCTTCCACAAAATTTATGCTTGAGAACACACAATAAAGTTATAAAATGAAAGAAAAAATTAAAGAGAAAATATAAAAGAATATGTTGGACTGAATTTGTGACTATTCTAAGTCGCATATCCCATGCACCAGAGGTTGGTCATTACTGCTGAAATGACAACATGAAAATAGACTGTATTTAGCAAAAAACATTTTTTGTACATATGTATGTGTACATTAAGGTATATTTGTGTTTGTTTAAGTGCACATTCAAGCACCTGTGATACCAGAGGTCAATCGTGTGTGAAGTTTCACAGGCATTGTTCACCATTTCTGACATAGACTTCATGTGTGTCTTATGGTTTGTACTATAAGGAAGGCTAGCTGGTCATTCAGATTTCCAAATATTCATGTCTTTCCACCTGCCCACAATTGGGGTTACAAGCATAAACCATTGCAGCCAGGTATTTTACTCAGATGCTGGAAATTGAACATTGGTGCCCACACTCATAAAGCAAAATGTAAATACTGAACTGTCTCTCTAGCCACAAAAAGCAAATAGTTTCATCAAATGTCTTTGCTACTGTTGACTGGATTCTTGAGTATGGTGGGAAATGATTACTCAAGTGTTCTACATTCATCTCTAGGTTAAACCTATTCAGATGGCTTAATCACTACACATAAACTCTGCATTGCAGTGACATCAAAACACAGGCTTCTTTGGTAATTTTTGCATCAGAACAGAGTAGTAACTCAATAACATTTAGCCCTAATATGACATTCTTTAATAGTGTTGCTTTGGAATAAGAAAATTAGTGTAAAGTAGAAAGAAATATAATGGGAGTTTGCACAATGGTCAACAGTTCTTTCTGTTTCTGATGGCAGCTCTCCCTGGAAAATTATTTAGTTTGTCCATGTTTAGACTGTTAGTAAATTAGCCATGCCAATTTTCACAATAACTCAAAAAATACAGAGAATAATAAATATCCAATGGTGTCTATTGCAAATCTATCAAAGAAATATGCTTAGGACATTTCTTTCAGCTTTTCCAACACTTACAATATAAAAATTCTATTCAAGCTAATCTAAAAGAAGATAAACCATTTTCTCTTCTATGCTGATTGCAAAAGAAAATTTTCAAAGGAAAGAAAAAGAAAGATCCCCGGAGTAGAAATAAGCTAGTAAAAATACTAAAATTTGTTGTATTGGTCTTCTACAATGAACTTAAAATAAATGACTGAGAATGTTTATTTTCCTGGAATTTTATTATAAGAAGAATGATTAAGAGAAGAAACAAATACAAAAATTTAACGTTTTCTACAGTTGGTTAATAACAGTAAACCCAAAGCAAAGTTATTCAATGCAGGTCTATGGCTGGTGTGAGGGCCCATCTCAGAGAGCAAATGCTGAAGTCAAAGAGGCTGAGGGATAAGACCAGGAATTTCAGATAAATTGGGTTGCCTCTTAATTGATGTGTTAGTATATACCTTCAATATTAGCACTTCCAGGTAGAGGGACAAGAATTGCTCAAATGTTGAGGCCAGCCTTGTCGACATACTGAGTTCCAGACCAGCCACAACTTTATAATGAAACTCCATCTCCTAAAGAAAAACAAGTAAAACTTAGGTAAAATAAATAAGTAAAGCCTTATTTTGCCTAAATCTTAGGTAAATGGCTAGGGCAAACGGAAATCAGTGGGTATAGCTATCATGTTAAGATGATTACTGGTGTTTTGGTTTACCCGCTCATGCTAACAGAAAGGACTGAGGCAACTTGAGGAAAACAGAAGTTAAAAATAATGTGTTATCTTCCATAATATTTTCATTAATACTTTGATAATTTCATACCTACATGCAATGTGTTTAGATCATATTCCTCCTTGTTCCCAACCTGTCTCATTCCAGATTCATCTGCTACCTAGTCCCCAGCTTCCATACATAACTTACAGAGTTCAATATCTGTTGCCCACATGCTAATGAGAGTGGTGCCATTTAAATAAGCATTAGCAACCTACCTCTGGTCACAGTTTCTAAAAATATGGCTTGCCCTCCCCCCTCTATAGACATAAACTAATAATAACACTTATAGCAGTTGGGGCCCCTGAACACCTCGATCATTGGTGATAAAATGGAATGAAGACTACCTTGATCCTGTAGCAAGAATCACTGCTGCTCTATGTTCGTGAGTCCTGTGGTTCTACCATGGCCAGAAAAACTCCTTTAAGCAGAGTCCTCTTCTACGTCTGACTTGGACAATCTTTCCGCATCCTCTTCTGCCAACTTCTCTGAGCCTTTTAGAGAAGGTATATAAAAGAGATGTTGAACTTACAACAGAGCCCTCCAGGAAAACTTATTCTCTGCATTTTAAGCTGAGATTTGCTGCATTAACCACCACTCACTGCACAATTAAACTTCTGTGCTGAGAAAAACTGCAGTAATATCCCAGTGGAAAGATTTATATTATAAAGGCCTGTTGGTACTGGATTCCTTTTACAAAGTAAAAGTAGTAGGTTCAACACTTAGAGTTTGCAAAGTCTCTATTAATGTGTTATTGATTAGATTTCCAGTACCAGGCATGTGTTTTTTCTGTAGAACGGGCATTAAATCCAATTATAAGACTATCATTACTGTATCCATGGACGTACATTGGCCATCTCATCATCGCTGTGATTCAAAGGGATTTCTGTTGGGTAGGACTATTGACTTTTCTCTCCAACAACCTGAATAAAACCTTCAGTCAAAGGAAGAGTAAGCAACATGGATGAACTTCTTGCTCAGTACTGAAAGATCCCCAGAGGGTGTTTAAAACACTTGAAGACCCTCGCCCAAGAACCAAGTCCGAGTCACTGGATGCAAGAGCAAGAGGCAATTTTTATTCACATAGGGCCTGTGGGTGCTGCAGTCACGTGGAGGACTGAGCGCCCCGGGCTGGGTTTGGGGCAGATTATATGGGGTTGGGGTAGGCAGAAGCAGGCATACAGAAGCAGATGCATCATTACAGGGGTCTCATTGGTCAATTTTAATGAGGCCATGAGGTCATGCCTAAGACAGGGTGTTGGCTCTCCACTGGGTGCATAACAGCTATGTTGACAGCTTGGGGACTTTCCGTTCCTCCCCCTTAATCTTTCTCATGCGGGTGGCATAACTCCTGGTGTCTAACCACAGGCATCCTGTTTGTGCAGACTTGGCAATATCATCTGTGACCTTATTATGAGCCCTAGTTCTTAGTTCAAGTCTTGTTATAAAATGTCATTACAGCTCCTAAGCCAGGCGGGGGGGGGGGGGGCCGTCTTTCATTTCCCCCATTTCTTTTTATCCTAAAGTAAAATCTTTTACTTATTGGTTCAGGAGAACTCTGTCTCCTGTTGTTTTAAGACCTGGTACTGATGGGCCAGGACCAGAGTCTGGATGACCGATAAACAATCGCTTACAATCTGCATTAAACGATTTATAATGCAGGGTCCAATGGTTAGGATGAACATTAAAATAATTATAGGACCCGTAATTGCGGAGATCAGGGTTGTAGACCAGGGAGATCGATTAAACCAGCTTTCAAACCAATTTTGCTGTGATTCAAATTCCCTTTGACGTTTGGCTAATCTATCTTTGAGCTTATCCAGGGTTTCAGTTACTATTCCTGTCTAATTAGCATAAAAGCAACATTCTTCCTTAAGTGCGGCGCATAACCCCCCTTCTTGAAGGAACAATAAATCAAGCCCCCTTCTATTTTGTAGGACTACCTTGGACAGGGAAGTTAAGGAGTCTTTAAGTGCTTTAACCGATTTTTCTAGAGCTTGTAGGTCAGCCTTCATAGCGGCTTGCAACTGCATGTATTGCTCATTCTGAAGTAGGGCAGAAGTCCCTATCCCTATACCAGCCGCGATCCCTCTGATACCCAGCAGTGTAACATGTAGGGCCGGCTTGTTGGGGTTTCTGTCCCACCCAGTACCCCACAACCGGCAATTCCCAAGGAAAATCACACACAAGACTACATAAGATTATAAACTGATTGGCCCATTAGGTCAGGCTTCTTGTTAACTCTTATAATTTATGTTACCCCATTATCCTTATCTATGTTAGCATGTTTTCTTGGTAGCAGCAATTTCTCGAGTCTGCTCTGCTTGCTAGAGGCAAGCAAGACTCTCATCTAAGAGAGGCTTCCTGACTCAGCTTTAGCTGCAAAACCCTGCAGCTCTTTTAAGAGGTCCTGCCACGAAACACTTAAACGGTGTTGATGAAAAGCTGAGTGCATGCTTTTTGGTTTTCAGTCGTAGCAGGAAAAAAGCTGTGCTGTTTTAAAATGCCGGCTTTCTGGGCTGTCCTGTCAGGACAATCTCTGACTCTTTCAGGCAGGCAGTCCGACTGAGTGTGGTCTGTGAGCCAGGGTTAGCATCAGTGCTAAGCCCTGACAAGTCTTATCTTTAAAGGATTTTGGGAGCGTTGGAGTGTCCATGATGGTTCTGGATCCCATCCGTCAGGAAGGTGTCCCGGTTGAGCGGCCTTGATGGGTGATTCGTGGATTCAGGCAGCAATCCCATCAACCTTCAATGCCGTGGGTGTAGTTAAGAGCACGGTATAGGGTCATTTCCAGTGGGATTATGTTGTTTCCAGTTATCGAGATCAGAGGCAGAAAAAGGCCAATATTGTAAGTGGCCATCCCAGTCCCCCAACGCAGGGGGAAAGCTTGTGAGTGTGAGGTGCCTTCTGAAGAGGCTGGTTCCCTATGCCTCTGTAGGCTCCCTGCAACGGGGGAATTGGGAGGGAGGGAGCCTCTGCCGTGGTGGTGTCAGGTTTCTCCTGAGGCTGTGGAGACTGACTTGGGCCAGTCCTCAATCCTGCCGACTTTGGTGGCAGGCTTTGGTGCCTGTGGGGGTGGGTGGTAAGGAGGGGGGTCCTTGGACCGAAGGTCTTTAAGGGGGGTTTCCGGACCAGGTGGCAAAACAGGTTTGGGGGATCCTTCTTAATTAGGGTAGGGTAGAGAGAGGAGGAAGGGGGGTTTGGGTGAGATGGGGAAGCAGTGGGAGAGGTCAAAGATGGTAGTTTGGGAAGGACAAAGGGGACTACCCAGGGAGGAGGATTGCAAGTCAGGCTTTCCCAGGTGATGATGTAGGCAACCTGGTCCAGGTGCCCATGAGGTCCCTTGTCACAGACTCTTTCCTTGATCTGTAAAATAGTAGTAATGTTAAAAGTCCCATCCCTTGGACATCCCATGTTAAAGGTGGGCCATTCAGAAGTGCATAATACCTGCCATTTCTTCTTCTTCACTTCAACCGACTGGTTGGAGGCACGGTCACAGACTTCAGCCCAATGATATAGAGTCAAACTTAGGGGGGGAGTCATGGATTGACGCATGGTTATTTCACAGTAAGATATAATACAAACGAATAAAACAGACAAAAATACCAGACAACCGGCTAACAGACGCGCTGCTCGTTTTCGGCGTAAAAACAAAAGCAAAAATTCAGATGGGGAGTCAGAGATGTGAGGTCCCCGTTCCCCATGCAGAACAATGTATCCTTCAGACACGTACTGAGCTCCGAAAAGTTGAGCTTCTGGAGCCCCTGGAACGTCTTCCAGGGTGGCAGGGGAGAAGTCCGAGCACGTCAGCTCCTTCTCAAGCCGCTCAGAGTTCTAAACGACCATGGAACTGAGTCGATTTTATAGACGCAGCGCAGCACATTAAAGACAGAACAAAACAGCAGACAGACAGGGACAAACAGTGGCTGGCCAGCTTACCTACCGGTGGGTTGTCAGGTGGGTTGGGCAGGGGTTCTCTGGATCCCGGACGAGACCCCAAATGAAAGACCTCCCAGAGGGTGTCTATAACACTTGGAGACCCTCGCCCAAGAACCAAGTCTGAGCCACTGGATGCAAAAGTAAGAGGCAATTTTTGTTGTTCACACAGGGCCTGTAGGTGCGGCAATCACGTGGAGGACTGAGCGCCCCGGGCTGGGTTTGGGGCAGATTATATGGGGTTGGGGTAGGCAGAAGCAGGCATACAGAAGCAGATGCATCATTACAGGGGTCTCATTGGTCAATTTTAATGAGGCCATGAGGTCATGCCTGAGACAGGGTGTTGGCTCTCTGCTGGGTGCATAACAGCTATGTTGGCAGCTTGGGGACTTTCCATTCCTCCCCCTTAATCTTTCTCATGCGGGTGACATAACTCCTGGTGTCTAACCACAGGCATCCTGTTTGTGCAGACTTGGCAATATCATCTGTGACCTTATTATGAGCCCTAGTTCTTAGTTCAAGCCTTGCTATAAAATGGCATTACAGCACCTAAGCCAGGCGGGGGTCTTTCAGTACCAGCTTAATTCTGCAAATTCTGTGACTCAAATATGCAGTGTCTTCTGCAATAGATTCCTATCATTAAATTGCAGTTGGAAACAAATAGCCATGGTAATAGGCCAAATATAGACTTGGGCGTCTTGAGAGAGCACGTGTGTGTGTGTGTGTGTGTGTTTGTGTATGTGTATAAGAATGATGTTCATGAAAGTACATGTTTCCACATGATATTTGAAGCATCCCTTAGTGTTAGTTATCTCTCTCTTACTCTGTCTCTATTCTCCTACTTAAAATTTCCTTCTAGTTATTGTCCATGACTCTCTTCTCATCACCTGTGTTCTACTCTTCTCTCTCCATTAATATGCCACCACTCACTGTCCCGATGCCCCCATTCTACTTCCCTGATGATCACAAATATTTCTAGCTAAATTCCCAACTTTAAGGCTATGATATGAGGATTGAAAAGCTGTGACATTTACAGTATAGTTTTTTGTTTGTTTGTAATTTATATTGATTTGATTGTTGTTGGTTTGTGTTTCCCAATACAATCATTTAACAAAACTTATAAAATTAATTTTTTCTTTTTAAAATATTCTTTTTATATAGATACACACATTTGTGTCAACAAATGGACATTACAACATGACAATTAGATATTTATTAGTTCACAAGAATTTTCTTTGTCCTATAATATTGAACAAAATAAAAAATCAAGTGCCATATGGCAAAAATAATCCAATAGTCCAAAGAAATGACTTGACTTATCTATTTTGTTCATAGTTTCTTCTCTCATGCACTTACATCGTAAACACATTTCCACTCCTTCCTCTCCTCTTAAGTTCCCCAACCTCTGTTCTACCCTAGATTTTCTCCCATTTTCTTCCTCTTCAGAAAAGTACAACTTCCAGGAAAGGACAAATAGGAAAAATCAAAACTCAAGAAATCAAAAGAAAAGGCCTCATATCAAGACTGGACAAGGCAACCAAATAGAAGGAAGAGAGTCAGCAGAATGTTTACATATATTTTACGAATAAGAACAACCACATTAAGACTCATTCACAGGAAAAAAAAAACGTACAACAAACGAAAAGGAAATGTAGACAGAATGAAATTAATCTGTAATTTAAATATCCTCATAGGCTTTGCTTTATTGTCATACAAGTTTAGAGTGAAAGGGTTTCAGATAATAAAGATGTAAGACTGATTTCACTAAGCCAGAAACAGTGAGTTACACAATGAAAGGATAGTCCTACTTCCACGTAGAAAACAGGACATCATGGACCATGCAATCATCAGTCCTCCAAGAACAGTAGAGTTCCATTGAAATAAACATAGTGAGCCCACATCTTCGAAAGTCAGGAGAGGAGAGAGCATCCAGATTGTCGCGATTGCTTAAATTTTTGGAAAATATTTTGTTTGGTTTTGAATGAGAATGTGACTTGTGCCGACTTTGAGGGATAAATATTTTGAGACCTGATATTTTCTAAGATCACTTTCAGGGAGCTCTGTTGTGTGTACTTTTGGTTTTGTTAAAATCCAGGATCTGGTTGAAGGTTTGTATAATTTTCTCAGCACTTGTGTTTTTATAAACCAAAATTCAGAAGGGGTAAATTCAGATTGAAGATTATAAAAATGAATACATAATTTTAGTTTTTTAAAGGAAAACATAAACTTATCAGCATTTAAAGTCACCAGGGTTAGTTTTCAGTTATTTTAAGACAAAGGAAAAAACTTATTGCAATGATTAAATTATTAAAAGTATTAGTGGCAGTTTTTAATGTTTACCAGGATGTGTGATATACCTTACATAAGTCATCATGACTTTTCTGTTGCTATTGTTTATATATTACACTAGTTTATACATCTCAACCAAAGTTTCCCTTCCTCTCTTTCACCCAATTCCTCTGACAGACCTTCCCTTTACCCCCTGCCAATTCACTTCTTCATTGTTTCTCTTCAGATTCAGGCAGACCTCCCATGGATATCAGACAGTCAGCCAAGATGTATCAGGTTGCAGTGAGACTCGCTTCCTTTATTAAGTCTGGATGAGGCAAACCAGTAGGAGGAATGGGTCCAAAATGCAGACATCAGAATCAGGGGTTGTCTATTAAGAGTCTCACAAGAGGACCACTTGACAAAACTGTAACATATATGCAGAGTTTCTAGATCAGGCCCATGCAGGTTCCCTGACTTGTCTGTTCAGTCTCCATGAGCTCCTATGAGCTCAGTTTAAGCTATGGGTTAGTTCTATGGGTTTTCTTGTGGTATCCTTGGCCCTTTCTTCCTCTCTTCAACAGAATTCCCTGAGCTTCACCTAATCTTTGACTGTAAGTCTCTGTGTTTGTTCCCATCAGTTGCTGGGTGGAAGTTTCTCTGATGACATTTGGGCTAGGCATCAATCTATGAGTATAAGACAGTATTGTCAGGAATCATTTCAATGATTTTTTTCTTTTCTTTTTATTTTTCTTTCTTTCTTTTTGTCACTTGTATTTTGTCCTATTCTAGGTCTCTGGGGGTATGTTACCTCTGAGTCCTGGCCATTAGGGGTGAGCTTCCTCTCAAGGAGGGTATGGGGCACCATCTGGACCAGTCATTAGATGGTCACTCCCACAATTTCTGTACCTTTCTGACTCCAATTTCTGTGCCTTTCTGACCCCAGCACATCATGGAAGAAAGATAAATTGTTTGTCGAAGGTTTTGTGGCTAAGTGTGGGTCCCAAGACCTCCACTGGGAGTCATGCCTGGTTACAGGAGATTGCTGGTTCAGGTTCTATATCCTCTACTGCTAGAATTCTTAGCTAGGGTCACCCTCATAGAATCCTATGAGTTTTCATTGCACTAGGTTTCTAGCTTATTCCAGAGATGCCCCTAGTTTCCAGTATTTGTGGCAGTTTTGAAACCTTAACAGGATGTGTGATGTGCCTTGCATAAGTCACAGCTTTTAATAAAAAAACAAAAACAAAAACAAAATTACACAGTTGGGCAGCACTTACATACACCTAAATATTCATACCTATGCACACACAAAAGCACATAAAATCCCGAGACATTTACAAGGAATCTAGAACTGTGATTATGACTAATTTTTAAATAAAGTCTGAAGGGAAATTAAGAGTGCAGTAATATGCTTCATTGTGTAAAGGTGCTTAGCCCTAGGAATGAGAACCTGAATTTAAATCTATGACTCTTCAGGTAGGAAGGGAAGCCATAACTCTGACAGTTGTCTTCTAACTGAGAAATGCACACACTGAGAAAAATGCAAACAATGAATAAAGAAAACTGCAGCAAACATTTGTAATATAAAAAATAAAATTTAAAATAAAAATTGAATAAAATACCTGCCAAAGAAAGAGAATTGCAATCTATTGTTGGAGAGATGGCTCAAGGATTAATCTCGGCTCCATTGTCAGCAACCACATTGTGATTCACAACCTCTCTACCTCTCAGTCTCGCAATTTAAGATCCCTTTTCTTAACTTTGTTGATACCAGGCATGAACTTACTTGGTGCACAAATAGACATGCAGATAAAACACTCATACATATCAAATAAAAGAAAGTACTTAAATCTACATTTTTAAAAAGGAACACTACCTATCACCTAGTTAGTGGAATTTTCAGCCTTCTAACACTGTAACATAGGATTATCATTTAAAGAGGCGTTGGAACATCTGAGTTGAATAAGAAGCATAAGCAAAAATAGTGATAACCATAAATTGCATGGTATATTCCTTGCAATAACACTTATCCTCAAATTACCATTTTTCTTACAACTAATTTACAACAATTACATATGAGAAAATACAGAAATATATTTAATTTCTACTATATAATTCAGTACAGTTTGCATCCAGTTTCCTTTTTCCTCTGAATTTATATGCCCAAAATAAATAGTAATTTTTCTTATGTCATCCTTCCTCCAAAAACCATTATGAAGAATAAAATACCTCCTAATTTCCAACAAAGCCGATCACACAATAAATTTCTATTAATATGTTTCTTTCTTATCCCTCTCTTCCTCAGCTTTCCTCTTCTCCAGTTTATTCTATTCACGGCCTTCTATTTCTACCCTTCCATCTTTCTCTCTTCTTTCTTAACTCCCTTCCTATCTCCCTCCATTTCTTCTCTTCTCCTTGCTAGTTCATGATTACTTAGCCTTAGCCCCACTGTGTGTTTCTTCTTCTTGAGTACCTTAATCCATTTTTTCTACTTCTCTTTAAAATTCTCACTATAAGTGTAGCTATAGTTTATAGCTTTTATGTGCTGATACCTGAGAAATTACTCAAATAATTCTATTCAGAAAGAACCACTAATGCTTAGCAAATGTCCTCTGACTATCTATGGGCATCATTCAAAGAGCAGTAGGTCCTTGGTACACTCATTTTCAGATCAACCCTTTGAGTGTTTTTGTCTAGGTTCCTCTTTATGGGAAATTTAACAACAACAGCAACAACAACAATTCAAAAACTCTGCCTGTCATCTATCCACGTGTCACTATGTGCATGCCCCGATGATCCATGTTCCACTAAAAAGTTACTTAATATATAAAAGTTCTACAATTTTATTTATAATCTTTATCTGATTTTTCACGTTCCTTTATAAGAATGCATCGTGCCTGGTAGAATTCTTAAAGAAAAAAAATTATATTGCTTAATGTAACGAGTCACCTGTTTTGAATGCTAAGGATTGTGTGATATATGCAAATTTTAACTCTCATGGATGTCTTAGTCTGCCAACTTCCTTTAAGTAGAACTTTCAGAATCTTAG